GATAAAAGTTTACACATGGAGCCCCCCCACCCTCTGCCACCTCCTAGTAGGAAATTTCTTAATTAGGCTTCAGACCCCAAGAGAAACATGGATACCCTTCTATTTACAGAAAGGCCCAACAGATGACACCTTGGATTGAAAAGAGCTCATGGCAAACCGGGGTGAAAGTTGAAAAGGGAATACGCAGGAGTGTCATAGTTCCTGGCCAGACCTCACACATGCTGCAGAGAGTACTTACAACAAACTCACCAAAGTAAACGACCCCGCCTACCCACCCTCCAGGCCCCTTCCTCTCTCTCTCTCTCTCTCTCTCTCTCTCTTTTGTGCAAACTGCAGATAAACAGTATCACGAAAGGATTCCATTATAGTTTGAAGCAGGAGATACCATGGGCAAAATGTGGGATACAGCACAGGAATCCTGGCATCTCTCCGGTGAGGCTGGCACCCCTGACCCAAGCGCAGTTGGTTTGGTTTTGTTCCCCGCCCCCTCCGCAGAGGCACCTTGAGTCCCCCATCCTGAATCCTCGCCTATGTCCACACACTGCTCTTTTCCATTTAAACGCTGCAGGCATTACAGATTACAGAGGGAGTTTTAAAAACTTATTTATTGTTCTAAAATTCCAGGCCCACAATTAAGTAAAAACTTTTTATTTTTTTCAAAAGGTGTAAGAGTATTTCGGGGATACCAGGAAGATTCGTAGGTGGGTCTTTTTTAGACCTGGATTTTGGGTCTCTCTCTCCCTTCTCCAGCTCTTACGACGCCCTCTTGTTGGACTCTGTTGAGGGAACGGCCCCTTCAACGTTTCCCAAGTGCCTTTCATGAACCATGAGGACGAGGGAGAGAATATCCAGGTTCTAAAGCAGAAAGGGAAGAAAGAAAAAGACCGCGCAGAGCCAGCGGCTGGATTCTGAAGCCAGGACTGGGGACGCGCGGGCCTGTGGGTCCTCCCGGAGGCCAGGCCTGGCACAGGGCTTCGCAACGCGCTAGCCAATGTTTAACCCGAAAGCAGTGGCCACCAGGCCGCTTTTGTTTGTTCGTAAATTAATCACCCAGCGCACGGCCGGCGCCAGAGTGGGTTTATCACCCACCAGGAGGGGGGCGCGGCGGGCACGCAGAGACAAAGAGGAGTTCGCACCTTCGCGCTTTTGATCCCAGAATTACAGCGGCCTCCCAGCCTAATACGAGCCCCCTGGGGCCGAGTCTGGGAGGTCAGTCATAATTGGCGGAAGTTTGCAGACCATTAGCAAGAAGTCGACATTTTCGATTAAGAGAACCCCTCAAACTTTCCTCTCACCCCGCCTCGCCTGCACGCTGGGGTGGGGGCGGGGACCAGAAGCGGCGAACTGGGGTGACCCCAGGGTTAAATTAGAGCTACAGACCAAACAGGCAACTGGGGAGCGGGTGTAGGGGAGGGGACGCGGGGTGAGGGTCAGAAATCGCTCTAGGTCCACGGGGGGAGCCGAAAGAAGGTCGAGATGTTTATAAGTAAAATCCGCAACTCCTCTGCTCTTTTCAAAGCAATCGGGAGGCCATAATGCTGAGAACCTGGTATCAACCTCTCCCTGCCAGGCCTGTGGGCCTTCGGGGCACTGGGAGGGTGAGGAGGGGGTCAGTCACAACGAGGTTGCAGCATTATTTTCCTTCTACTGGACGCGACAGGGCAGAGATTGGCCGGCGAGTGCAGACAAAACCAGATCTCGGGGATTTGGGGCCGCTCTTGATAGCGCTGCAAGCGGCCCCAGGCCCGGCCGGGAGCACTATGGGGGAGGGGGTGTTTTTTGCCTCCAGAGAATCCTGAAACCCTGAAGTGACCTCGGCGGTGGGTGTAAGGAGGGGGAAGGCCTGGCCTCTTGCACCCTTCAGGATCCTGCGCTGGAGACATGGAAGGGGGTGTTAAGAGCCACCTCTCTGGGCCGCACTTCTTTCTTTTCTCTCTCTGCTTAACCGTGGGCAGAGACACAGAACAGACCAAAAGGAGGAGAAAGGGGAGAGATGGTGAGCCAGACCAAGTTCGCAGAACGACTCTATTCTCTCTGGTGACTTCAGGGAATTCTCAGCGCTGGCGCCAAGCGCTCTTAACCATGTGCGTCAAAAATGCGCGGCTGTAAAAGCTTGTCTCCTCAAAAGTCCCTCCCCTATCTCGAGGCGGTTGGCCCACATGGCACTGCCTTTTTATCCTCCAGTAGCTGCCACTTCGGACCCGGCAGCTGGGGTGGTGGTGTGGGGGGGTGGACAAAGCAAAATGTAGCAGGGGATTCTGCAGGTCTACGCAGACACGCGTCCGAAGGCATGGGTTTCTTAACCCCTAGGCCCGGAAACCAGCCGTTTCTCCATTCCCTTTCCAACCAAGTAGGCTCTTATCTTAGCAAGAGTCAAAGAGCATCGTCAAGATTTCCATTCACCTAATCAGGGACCGCCTCATCACCCCCACCCCACCCCACCCCAAAAGCGAGAACTGTGGGTTTGGGAGAATCTTCTGACCCGGACAGGAGTCACCGTGCGGTAACCATTTCGGGGACCGGCCTGATCAGTAAGGTCTGGTTGCCTCCCTCCCAGCTGCCCTCAATGAGGCCCCCACCCTACCTGAACTGGAACAAATCCCCTCGCCTCTGGGGTGGGGGCGTTTCACGGTTTGTTTTACAAATTCGCCCCCGACTTCTGGTGAGATAAGTCCTGGGGTGGAGAAAGAACTGAGACACCGAGAGATAAGTGCGATGCCTGGAGATGATAGGAGGCTGGCGCACCTCCCCCAACCAGCTCGTCCTCCCCTTACCAGCAGTTCCTCAAGGAGCTGGTCCCCGAGGTGAAGGCAGCGTCTTGAAAGGGACAGGCCCAGACCCTAGTCCATCACTGCACTCACTTTGACCGGAGTCTCCCTTGTCTACACCTTCCCGCCCCCCAACACACACATCCAGGCAGAATACCAGGAGCCCGCATCTAAATGGAAGCCGAGATCTGAAAGGGCTGGTAAATGCGTTTTTATAAAATCCAGAGACCATCTCCCAGAGTGAGTGCAGACAGGGCCGGGGGCTCAAGCTGTGTACATGTTTGAGTGTACGTGTTTTTCGGCGCGTATTAGAGTACAGATGCACTGAGGGTACTTGGGTGCCCCGCATACGGCTGCGGGGTGGGGCACTGTGGAAAGGGGCCCACGCACTCATGTGCTGAGATCCTGCCGCAACCGTGCGCTCGCGTTCCCGCGAGCCCAGATGTAGGGGAGACCCGCACCAAGATGCACGAGCTTGGGGACCCTTACTTAGCGGCGGCCAGGCGGAGCTCCGCTCCACGTGGGGCTGAAGAGCGCCGCAGCCTGGAGTCTAGGCGCGCACCTCTCGGCTGCCGCCGGTTTAGTCGCGCCCAGAGGCCGAACGCCAACTCGCAGGAGGTCCAGCAGCCCGCTTCGTTCGCCGGGAGTCGGAGGAAGAGGGAGAGCCGGAGAGAGAACGAGCCGCGGCTGGTGGAGAGGCGAGGCGAGGCGAGCGCGCGAGAGGCGAGCGCCCCTGCCCGGCGCCCGGGCGCGCTCTCCGCCCGGCTCGGCAGGCTAGCCGGCTTGCTCCCTCCCTGTCTCCCTCCCCTTCCTCCCAGGCCCTGCCTCCTCCCTCGATCCCGGGCTAGATGACTGAGGCATTTCAGACGTGGGCTGAGCGAGAGCAAGCGAGCTCTGGGTCTGCAGCGATCTCTCGATAAGCCACCTAGAGGCGACTCTGTGCGCGCACTCCCCAGTGGCTCCCGCCCTCCCTCTGATCATGTTGACATATTCACAGGACAGGCAGTAGTACCGATGCGGCGCTGCGACGTTACAGTTTCCGACACCTTCTTTTTATAACTCGGCTCTATCCCCCAGCACTCGACCTGTGAAAACCACGCCTATGCAGCAACACAATTGGTCCGAAAGCGTCAAAGAGCCAATCAAGAGGCCTCCGGCTCCCCGCAGCCCACAGCGCAGCCCGACCTTCTAGAGCCGCCGAGCAGACGCCCGGGGAATTCTAGAGGCGGAGGAGGGTGGCGAGCAGCTCTCACTAGCTTTCCCTCGCTCCCTCCCTCACTCCCTCCCTCTCCTCGCCTACTCTGTCTCTGTCTCTCTGTCTCTCTCCTCTCTCTCTCTCCCTCCTTTCTATTTTTCCCCTCCGAATCCTCCCTGCCCTGCGCGCCTGGACACAGATTTAGGAAGCGATTTCGCTCACGTTTTAAAGGACAAGGAAGAGAAGCAGGAGAGACCGGCCAGATTCGGATTGAAACCGAGACACCCTCCGGAGCTCGGAGCAGAGGAAGGAGGAGGAGGGCGAACGGAAGCCAGTTTGCAGTTCAAGTTTTGATAGCGCTGGTAGAAGAGGCTTAAATCAGTGTGTGTGTGTGTGTCTCTCTCTCTCTCTGTGTGTGTGTGGGTTTTTTTCTTCTTCTGTTTTTAAGAAGAGACTTTTTCCACACTCTTGCTCCCTGCTAAAGCCGAGTCTAGCTGCAGCAAGAGAGAGGAAGATAGGAAGCGGGGGACGAAGAGGAAAAGGGGAGAGTCTTCTAGGAGAACCGTTCGCATTTGCAACAAAGGACCTGGGGGCTGGGGAGCGATTCCGGGGACGCAGGGCTGGGGTGTCTATTTCGAGCTCAGCGGCCGGGCTCAGGCGCGAGTCGAGACCCTGCTCGCTCGTCTGGCTTCGGAAACCGACTTCCAGGAGCGGCTTTTTAAAATCACAAGGCACAAGGACTGTCACCCAGCGACTATGTCTTCTGATTTGTCGCCTTGTCCTCTTTAAAAGCGACATTCCCCTCCCCAAAAGACAATTCCCCCTGTCTTTGAAGTGATTTACTTGTGATTTCTTCCTCCTGGTTTTTTTTTTTTTCTTTTTTTTTTTTTTTCGTTTTTTTTAAAAAAAAAATGTTTTCTGTTTAACCAAAAAAAAAAAAAAAAAAAAAAAAAAAAAAAAAAAAAAAAAAAAAAGCAAAAAGCAACAAAACAAAAAAAGCAAGGCAGCCGCTGCGGACTTGCCCCCGCCTGAAGTGGATGAGCCTCTCCATGAGAGATCCGGTCATTCCTGGGACAAGCATGGCCTACCATCCGTTCCTACCTCACCGGGCGCCGGACTTCGCCATGAGCGCGGTGCTGGGTCACCAGCCGCCCTTCTTCCCCGCGCTGACGCTGCCTCCCAACGGCGCCGCGGCGCTCTCGCTGCCGGGCGCCCTGGCCAAGCCGATCATGGATCAATTGGTGGGGGCGGCAGAGACCGGCATCCCTTTCTCGTCCCTGGGGCCCCAGGCGCATCTGAGGCCTCTGAAGACCATTGAGCCCGAAGAAGAGGTGGAGGATGATCCGAAGGTGCACCTGGAGGCTAAAGAACTTTGGGATCAGTTCCACAAGAGGGGCACCGAGATGGTCATTACCAAGTCGGGAAGGTAAGCAAGCGGTGGCCACCCTCTCCCCGCAAGCTCTCCGAGGTTTCCCCCCTCCCTTTATCTCTCTCCTCTCCCAAAAGTCTCTTTTGCCAGTTGTTACGGCTGGGGCGAAAAATTAGTTCTCCTAAAAATGTGTGAAGAGATTCCACAGCCCTGCTCCGGGTGACGGCAGTTTTCAGTGTACCTGGGCGTGTGCATGGGTAGAAAACATATCTCGGGTCTCTACAGAACAGACAAAATATTCCAGGGGAGTACAGACATCCCTTTAGGAAGCAAGAAAACCACCCCATTGCAGGAAATTTACTCTCCAAGGCTTTTTTTGTAGCCCCCTATTTCATTACTGATGTGTTTTGATCAGTTTTATTTTGTTCTCAGGAGAAAAACTTAAAGCTCCTTTCTTTTGAATGGTAGGGGGAGGCTGACACTGTTCCCCTGGTCTTCTGCCCCTCCACCTAGCCTCCGAGTCTGAAGGGGGCCTGAGCCTGCCAGGGTCAGAAAGAAATGGAAGGGCAAATGGGTTTGTTTGCCCACACCACTTCACATGTCTGTAACCCGAGGAAGAGTTCAGCAGGCAATTTTGGATAATTAAGATTATGTTTGTAGACCTAAGGAGTCCACGAGGACATGCACATTGCTTTTGTATATGTGAATTATTATAAGCCATATTTTACATAATGTTTAGTGGTCCTCGCCTGAACGAAACATGTTTGGAAAAGAGGACCCCAGGATTATCATTTACAATCACTCAGTTTTTTTTTTTTTTTTTTAACTACAGTGTTGGACTCTATCAGGATAAAAATAAAGTCCCCCTCTTGAGGTCTGTAGCTTTCTGTCTCCTTCCAAGCTACATGAGGCCAAAGTTTGGCATACACTCTTCCTTAAACCCACAAGACATTTAGTCAGTGTTCCCAGCAGAGTGCTTCCTTTTAAGTCAGAAGTACAGAATGCCAACACTTGTGTGAAATTAAACAGCAATTTGGTGGCACAACATTGGAGTTTGGGGCTGGCAGCAGGCATGGGGGAGTTCACCCTAATCTGCAAAATTTATTCAGAGAACTTAACTGAAGCCCGTTTGCACTTTCGCCAGCAGCGGGATTGCTCTTGCACCGAAGGGACCTGGGCAACTTGACCTTTATTTCCTTGATAAGTTTAGCATTTTCTCATCAATGGGTGGTGGAAAATTCTAGCCATGAGTAGCACTTCACTGGAATCCTACCCTGAGCTGTTTAGAACTAAATGCACAAAGGAAAAAAAAAAAAAAAAAAAGATAGGGGCAAGAATTTCTCTGTACAGAGGGCAATCTGTACAGGCACATAGAAAAAAAAAAATAGACATTGTTAGTCTCTGTAGAGAAATGCAGTGCCATCCTTCATTTGTTTTGAATCTTGAGATATTTAAATATAGAAAATCGGGGCATGTTTCATACTTCCATGTGGAAGAGAATAATTTTGTATCATGTTGCTCTAGTCTGAAAAATATAAGCTCCTCTGTCACAATAAAAAATTTTAAAAGAATAAACAGGAAGCCAACCTCAAGATTCTGAGCAATTTATCTTTTTCTTTTTCTTTCTTTTTTTTTTCTTTCTCTTTCATTCTTTTCCTATTATAGGCGAATGTTTCCTCCATTTAAAGTGAGATGTTCTGGGCTAGATAAAAAGGCCAAATATATTTTACTGATGGACATTATAGCTGCTGATGACTGTCGATATAAATTTCACAATTCTCGGTGGATGGTGGCGGGTAAGGCCGACCCTGAGATGCCAAAGAGAATGTACATTCACCCCGACAGCCCGGCTACCGGGGAACAGTGGATGTCTAAAGTTGTCACTTTCCACAAACTGAAACTCACCAACAACATTTCGGACAAACACGGATTTGTAAGTTCCTTTGCTGCTTCCTGCAGATGTGCTTTCTACCCCTCTCTCTCGGAGGTAGTTCTTTCGAGTTCCTTCTAAACTCCTGCGTTTCGGGTCAGACTTCTCCCTTGATCGCTGTAGGTAAAGCCTGGCCAATTTGTGCGGTTTCCGCAGAGCTGGGGGAGGATCCGGGGTGCTTCTCTCCGGATAATGAAGGCCTTGGTCTTCTAAAGAAAATGGGAGCAAGAAAGCACCCTTGTTCATGTTCAGTAAGCTACCCCAGGTCCTTGGTAGATTCTCCCCCCCTGACAGGGAAGCTTCAACCCCACAACTGACAGTGGAAATCCATTGCATTCAGGATTTGTTCTGTTTGCAAACATATGCAACTTCTTCTCTTTGGAATCCAGCCGTCCTCTTTCTTGGGAGAGTTTAAGTCTCCCAGGTTTGATTGTGTTGGTTCAAGGGTGTGAATATGGTTGTGATAATGTGGTTTTCTTTTTCTAAAAGAATTGGGCCAAGGTGACAGTCAGGTTTACAAGAAATGAGGGTGAGGTCTTTCGGTGTGAAAATAGTGCCTAGATGTGGATTCAGTGAGAACCGTGCTTAGAAACTTTCAGAAGACTGGGATTGCTTGTAAAAGTCAGGCGAGGCACCTTTTGCCCCTTCCTCCACCCCTCCCCAACATTTCAATAAAATAAACAAAGTGATAAGCGAGGAATAAGGAGAAAGATTAGGCCCAGGAAGACGTGAAGGGCGCGGAAATATCTTCCTCGGGCAGGAATTGCATTTAAAGCCCTTGATTTGATTAGGGCATAAATATTCCTCTCTGAGTTCAGCCTTTCAGGGCTTTAAGTGGACCGGGCTCGTCAATTAGTGGGCGCTTAAAGTACTGAATCATTTTCTAAATTAAAATGCATGTTTTTCTCTATCTTTTAAGACTTTGGCCTTCCCAAGTGATCACGCAACGTGGCAGGGGAATTATAGTTTTGGGACGCAGGTAGGCTAGGGTTCAAGGCATAAATGAACCTTAGATGGCGAGGGTGGGGGGGGGGGGTTCCCTATTGGAAATTGAGGAGCAATTTGGATTCTCCAGAAGATTACATCTGTGGAGTGAACTGTACCCAAGAGGTACTCCCATCCAAGTGTGGGACCCTGCCGGTGGGGGAAGATGTCAGCCTAACAGGGGTCCTAAGATCCCATTTGTCCTGCTAATCCTTAAAAAAAAAAAAAAAAAAAAAAAAATTGTGTATCTCCTCTTCCCTGCCACTGCAGACTATATTGAACTCCATGCACAAATACCAGCCCCGGTTCCACATTGTAAGAGCCAATGACATCTTGAAACTCCCTTATAGTACATTTCGGACGTACTTGTTCCCCGAAACTGAATTCATCGCTGTGACCGCATACCAGAATGATAAGGTAACTGAGAGGGCTTTTCTTATTTTAATGGTGATATTTCCCCTCCCCTTTAAAAAGTTGCTTTGGTTCCGGGTGGGAACATTTAAAGGGAATTGGGATGTGAGCCTCGGATTTTCTTCTGTGATTTGACCTTCGGCTGGAGCCAGTATGGGAAGAGGCTCTGGCACCTTCTAGGAGGAAGAAACAAAACATTCCTCCACCAACTAGGGACCCAAAGCTGAGCAAGAAAAGCCTCCTTGATTTTTGCCAGCAAGAAGCTCCTGTACCCACGGTCCCTGATACACTCTAAACCCTGAGCCCTGGGGCTGTTCTGTGTTGGTTTCAATGTTCGTCCTCTTCCCCTTTTAGGAAGAAGGATCCAGAAATAAGGTTGCGGGGAAAGGAAGCTAAAAATTTCAGGCAAAAAGTCTTTTGGATTCAGGGAGGAGAATTCTAGTGGAGACCAGCTTTTCTCCTCTAGCCAGAAATCCCCGAGAAGCTGGTCTGGTTTTTATTACCTTTTATGCTGCTGTGTTTTTTTATGGTGTGTGTGCGCGCGTGTTTGGAAGAACCTATCCTGATCACAGGGTCATGTGAATGGAGTTGTCTGTGGCTTTCTACTTGAGGTAGCCAAAGTCACCACTTTATTTGAAAGTTTTTTCTCCCTTGGACCTGATGCTGGGTGCTGGAAGGGCCCTCAACAGTACACCTGAAATGCACTGTTCTGAGGCCTGAAGGTCAAGGGCACAGAGGTCCAGAGAAAGCAGTGCTTGACCAGTGCCAACCGTGGCTACTTGAAGGCAGTAATGGGGGTGACAGCAAGGGCTGGGGACTCCTGCTCTTCAGCTGCTGAGCCCTCTGCTCACCTGTCAGCATCCATCCTGCATTTAGAACTCACTCTGACTGTCATGGGTCCCTGTGGGATGATCAAGGTGTTCCAGGTAGATTTCCGTAGGCTGGAGACTAAGAGGACATCATCACCTTCTCCCCCTGTCAAATGCAAAACCTGAAGTCAGGCATCCTGCAGGGACATTTCAAGACCCAGAAGCCAACCCAGGGCTCTTTTCCCACCTCTGGTAACTTGGAATATGTGACACGCCCCCACCCCCCAAAGGGAAGGGATTTGAAAGATGACAAACTATGGCATTGTCCTCAGCATGCAAAGTGCAGGTCCCCTCTAGACCCAGAATCCTATGAAACTAAGTTGTTCATGTAATAATAAAATAGAGCATTTTTGATCAGACAAAGAGGCCACTGGGTCTCTTCCACCTTATTGTGGTGGCAAAGAATATAAAGGAAAACAAATGTTTCCAGAGATCTTTCAGTCTTTTTAGAATCCGTGATTGTCAATAGTGTAATTCCTCAAACCACCCCCCACCCTAGGAGGAAAAAAAAAATCAAACTTTAGCCCAAGGGTAGCGAAATCCCATAAATCATTTTATTAGATTCATGGAAAAGGTTGGCTCGCGCGTGTGTGTATGTGTGTGTGTGTGTGTGTGAGAGAGAGAGAGAGAGAGAGAGAGAAAGATTGCATATAAAGGCAGAGAGGAGTGTGCCTTAACATATATTATGATTAATCGCATTGTATAGAAATTCAAAATGAAGACACAATTTTAAGATCAACAGGTTGTCCCTCTTGACAACTTCAAGAAACTTTGCATTGCTAACCCCAAGCTGTCAACTGCCTCCTATGGAACAGACTCCTCTTTAACCTGGCACATCCACATGACCTCTATTGGCACCCAGACTTCTAGGAGGCTGTTGACCTGGGGGAAACATCTCAGAACATTCTAGAAAGTGAAGCTCATGCCTCTGTCTTGCTTGTGTCTCCTCCTCTAGATAACTCAGTTAAAAATAGACAACAACCCATTTGCGAAAGGTTTTCGGGACACTGGAAATGGCAGGAGAGAAAAAAGGTGGGTTGAGACAATTATTCATTTCTCGGATAATTTAGGGGAAAAAATTACATTTCTAGGACTAAACTTTCAAGTGTTAGAAGTGGGATTCAGGAATTTATTCTAAGAAGAGCGGGTAGAAGCTAACTGACTTCCCACTCACTACACTTTGTGAACGTACATTGCAATTTTTCTACATATGACTTGTAGCCTTTAAAGAAACAGATGAGTCTATACGATAGTTGTCTCTGGAAAAAAAAGCATTGAGGATAACAGATTACATAGGGATGCCTATTAATTGTAATTAATTTAAATTCGTCTTGGGCAGATCCCAGACAAGGACCAGGCCATTCACAAAATGCTTTGGAATTTTTGCAATCTTGCCTTCCAAATACCATCAGACAGAGCTAGGCCCCTTGAGAAATCTAGTTCCCCCCACTCTTTAATAGGGACATGTATCATTTTGCATTAAGCAGACAGCTAGAGAATATATGAGAGCAGTTCTCCCTCCCCCAACCCGTTTTCAAAGATTTTTTTTCTAAAATCCAGAAAAATGCCTCAAATTTCCATCCTGCCCCTGGAGAGTGAGCATTGAATATTTATTTATTTATTTATTTTTTGCTAACATCTAAATGAATTTTAACTCCAATTAACGTGTTGGTGAACCAATTACTGTAGAGTGCACCATGAAATAACCACTTCCTCCCGACCTTAGCAACCATCCAGGAGTTGGGTAGGCTGGGGACAGACAGCATTGTGTTCTCAGGGTTGGACACCCACTTGCCTCCCTCTACAAGGCTGGCATTCAGCTGTCCCTGGCCACCTCCTGCCCTCTGTCCTCCTGGTTTTAAACAAGGTTTCCTAGTTCAAGCAAATGTCCTTTCCCAGTGAAACCCTGATCTTGAATATATGCACCTGAAGCCCACCCCCCCCCCACCCTTTGCAACACTCTGTATCTCACTTAAAGGGTCAGAGTGGGCTGGGGCTGCATGGCTGCCCTGGGGCCATCAGATTTTAGAGAAGGAAATCTGTTGTGGGGGGGGGGGTGTGTGGCAGAGAGTGAGGTGTGCATATGCCACTTTGACAGGAGTGAGGGAAACAGGGGAAGTGTGTGTTTTGCTCTGTAACGCTGGGTGTGGGCTTCTGCCACAGAAAGCAGCTCACCCTGCAGTCCATGCGGGTGTTTGATGAAAGACACAAGAAGGAGACAGGAACTTCGGATGAGTCCTCTAGCGAACAGGCGGCCTTCACCTGTTTCACTCAGGCCTCCTCACCAGCAGTGTCCACTGTAGGGACATCGAACCTCAAAGGTAAGCCTGGCCACCTCGGCAGGACCTGGACTCCAGGTCATTGGGCCTGGAGATGTTGGGGGTGGGGAGGCCTGGAGCCTAGACCTGGAGACTCACCTAGTGCAAGCTGCAGACCCTTCCAGACATCTGTAAACAGGAGCCAAAGTTCAAAAAGGGGGTATCAGGTGAGTCCCCTCTCCCTGAGGTCATAGAGGGAAAGCTCAGAGTCTCTTCTCCTACTGCCTTATTTGGCTCAGGTGGGGTGGTGTGTTTGTATATTACTTCTTGGCAGGGGCCACGTTGAAAGGGTGCCTGATGCACTTTCTCTCTCTCCCTCTTGGTCTACCCTCCCAATCCCCGACCCCCAAACCTCCCTCCATGACAGTCTTCAACTACTGACATACCCTTGGCCTGAATTCTACCTTAAAATGTGTTGGGTTGGCAGGAGGGAAGGCATTCTCTGCCCCTGGAACTCAGGAGGTGGCTAAGGAGACACTCAACTGGAGAACAACAATTCACCTGGGTTGGGGGGTGGAGCACTGGAGACGAGCAGCCGGTGAGGTTGGGGGTGGATGAGATGGTTCCAATCCCCAATTGGTTTCCTGTGTTTAAAGAGCAAGCACTATTTATTTGAAAAGACACACAGAGCCTCTCAACTGGAGGAAACCTGTTTCTAAGTGAAATCCTTAATGTCTTCAATCCATTTAAGCTTTAAACATAAAATAGGATCCCCCTCTTTTTTTTTTTTTTTTTTGGGACACCCACAGAGGGTGTGGAGAAAGAAAAGGAAGGAGTCTTTGATTGTCCTGGGGGGGGGGGGGGGGGGGAAGCTGCCGATCACCCATTTTGTGGCAGGCACTGGGGCAAACCGAGCAGGCTCAATTGAGTGTGTGCTGGGGGAGGGGTGTTTGCTTCTGCCATTACCAATTCAGATGTCAGGATTCTTTCCAAACAAATCCTTCCAAAGTAATCCACAAATTTGTGGAAGGTGCTGCTCTGCATCTCACTCCCCCAACAAAGACTGGTGATAATTGGAATGTGCTTCAGCAGTGACTTTTAAAGTAACTTAGTTTTTATTTTAAAAAAGTTAATTTGCAATCTAATGGAGAAAGCTAGTGAAGGTTCTGACGCTGTAGGAGCTCAATCCGTGCTTCTGGTGGGGGGAGAGGGGAGGGGGAAGGACAATTCATTAGAATAAGAAGAGCTACTGGTTTGGGGAATTTCTCCCAGAGGTGGGTTAAGCTCCTTCCAAACACTTTAAATTCCTTGTTAGCTTATTGAATCTAAAAGCTAAGGTGTTAGGTATCCTCCCTTCCCATTTTGCAGATGAGAAGACTGAGGTGCCAGAGGCTAAGGGGCCTGCCCGGGCTTCCACAGCCAATTGGGATTCAGATCAGGAACTGGACCCCCGCTGGTGCACTTCGAAGCTAACGCCCTTCCGCTTGGCTTTTTGTCTCCCCCACTTTCTTTCTGTGCTAGATCTGTGTCCCAGCGAGGCTGAGAGCGACGCGGAGGCCGAGAGCAAGGAAGAGCACGGCCCCGAGGCCTGCGACTCGGCCAAGATCACCACCACCACGTCGGAGGAGCCGTGTCGCGACAAGGGCAGCCCGGCCATCAAGGCTCACCTCTTTGCGGCGGAGCCAGGCGGCCGTCCCCGGGACAGCGGGCGGCTGGACAAGGCGTCGCCGGACTCGCGCCACAGTCCGGCCACCATTTCCTCCAGCACCCGCGGTCTGGGCGCCGACGAGCGCCGGAGCCCGGGCCGCGAGGGCGCGGCCACGGCCAAGGTCGAGGAGGCGCGCGCGCTGCCAGGCAAGGAGGCGTTCGCGCCGCTCACCGTGCAGACGGACGCGGCCGCGCACCTGGCCCAGGGCCCCCTGCCCGGCCTGGGCTTCGCGCCGGGCCTGGCCGGCCAGCAGTTCTTCAACGGGCACCCACTGTTCCTGCATCCCGGCCAGTTTGCCATGGGGGGCGCCTTCTCCAGCATGGCCGCGGGCATGGGGCCCCTGCTGGCCACCGTGTCCGGGGCCTCTACTGGCGTCTCAGGCCTGGATTCCTCGGCCATGGCCTCTGCCGCCGCTGCGCAGGGACTGTCTGGGGCATCTGCGGCCACCCTGCCCTTCCATCTCCAGCAGCACGTCCTGGCCTCTCAGGTAGGTGTCCCCTCTTTCTGCCTCAGCAGCTGCGGTTTTCCCACCTTTTGATTCCAGACCCTCGCAGCAGCTCCCTTGCCTTAGAATAATAATATATAATAACAGTCATTACAAACTATTATTTTTAATCGACCCATTACTAGGTGCAAGATTTAACTCACTGAGTCATCATGACCTCACCCCCCCCCCTCCTAAAAAGGCTTCCCCAGGGCTGTTTCCTGCAGAGTAGATAGTGCTAGAGATAACAGCGGGACCTAGTGCTCACGAGCAGCAGGCTGTCTCCTAGGCCCTTCATCTCTTCTGACTCTTTTGATCTAAACCTTCAGCGGGACTTTTGACACCTCCACTTTTCAGCTGGAGAGGAAGAGGCCTGCAGATGTTGAGTAACTTGTCTGAGGTCACACAGCTAGTCCTTGGTGGAGTTGAGACTCTGTCCCAGGCTATCTGACTCCAGGGCCTTTTTCAGGGTTTTTGGATTTTAGTTTTGGAGCTAAAATCTCTAGTGTCAGAGAGCCAACCGTTCCCCAGGAATCCAAGGACTAGAGGGTGACTGAGGCCTGGGGGGTGGGAAGTGACTTCTGGGTTGAGTATTCATTCAGTCTCTGCTCCCTACCCCCACCCCAAGTAGGCCAGCCTGTCCCCCATAGGGTTAACAGTTTGAGCACGCGTGGGAAATGTTGGAGGAGAGGGACCAGCAGGGGCTGTGGCAGGCCTCTGTATGGTCAGACAGCTGTGCTGGGGAGCAGGCTCAGGCCGCTCAGAATGCTCTGAACCTGCTGAAAAGGTTCTCTGGGATTTTCTGCAAGCCCTTGCTTTTTGTTTTGCTGAACACTTTGTCTCACTTGCCAGAGCCACAAGGCAGGACTGGCCTCCCCTCTTGGGGAGGAGGGGGCCGAGAAAAAGGGCTGGCTTGTGGCCTCTCTCAGTTCCTCCCCTGTCCCCTGAAGGATTCTCCTGGAGACTGGGTCACAGGTAGCAGTAATAGGTACATGTGCACCGGCCTGGGCATTCAAACACTCTAGGCATGGTGCAGACCCAGGCTCCCTACATTTTAAAGTCTCTTTCTGCCACTTATTAGCTGAATAAATCCCTGGGCCCCTGAAGCCTACCTCAGTTTCCCACCTGTGACACTCAACAATTAGGCCAGGTGATTTCTTTGTCTCGGACAGCCAAATGCCACCCCACTCAGTTTGCTTTGCTTCACATATTCCATACTTATTTGGGGGTCTCATTTGGGAAACATGCAACTGGAATCAAAGATTGGAGAGGATAAGAATGCCTCCCCACCCCCCCCCCAAAAAGTCTCATAACATGTCCCCTTGGTTTTCCTTCAGCCATCTCTGGGTTCGACTGAATCCATAGCCCACTTAACAGGTGCAGCAAATTTTTTTTGTGTGGGGGGGGGGGTAGGTGGGACTAGGTGCTGTGGGCCAGATACTATGTGTGACAGTTGTGGCCATTACCTTATTTCCAAACACCAGTCCTCAATCAGTATATGATGCTTTGCTGTTCCCTGATTGTTCATATCAGGAGGCTGAAATGCAGTGGTTCCATTCCTCTGCCTAGGGGGACATAGCTAAGACTGGAATCTAGACATGTCATATCATCCCAGTGCCCCAAAGGAAAGGCTTTGCCGGGGTGGTGGGGAGGATTTGGAGGAGACTGGCTCCTCCCCGCCCCGCAGTCCCTGATCTCAGTGTGGTTTCTCTTCCTTCCCCAGGGCCTGGCCATGTCGCCTTTTGGAAGCCTCTTCCCTTACCCCTACACATACATGGCCGCAGCAGCTGCCGCCTCCTCGGCTGCGGCCTCCAGCTCCGTGCACCGCCACCCGTTCCTCAGCCTGAACAGCATGCGCCCGCGGCTGCGCTACAGCCCCTACTCCATCCCGGTGCCGGTCCCCGACAGCAGCAGCCTGCTGGCCACCGCGCTGCCTTCCATGGCGCCGGCCGCGGGGCCCCTGGACGGCAAGGCCGCTGCCCTGGCCTCCAGCCCCGCTTCGGTGGCCGTGGACTCGGGCTCAGAACTGAACAGCCGTTCCTCCACGCTCTCTTCCAGCTCTGTGTCCTTGTCGCCCAAACTCTGCTCCGAGAAGGAGGCGGCCACCAGCGAACTTCAGAGTATCCAGCGATTGGTCAGTGGCTTGGAAGCCAAGCCCGACAGGTCCCGCAGCGCGTCCCCCTAGACCCCCTCCTGAAAAGTCTCTTCATTCCAGTTCAGTCAAATCTGCAGCGCACTTTGTTGGATGTAAACTAAACCACGGGCCGTGGGGTTACCCCCTTCCTTTTGCAGTGGTGTCTGGGAAGGGGCAATCGACTCCCTTGAGAGAATGTCCGAGAGACAGACCCTGTCGCCTTGGCAAGGTTTATAGATCTTGGTTCTGGCTCAGATTCGGGGGGGCTCAGAAACCACTGTTGCATCGAGCCACCGGGTGGAAGCATGGCATCTGTGTCCTGAGACTGCCATCCAGGCTGGTCTGGAAGCTGTGGCCCCAGGAAGAGGTAGCTGAGCCCTCCAGGGGGGAGAGGTGTTGAAAAGCATTTCCCTCAATGTGGATTTATATGATCTATTTTTTTTTCCTTTCACCGTGTCAAGTGGAAACAAATAAAATTTTTAAAAATCGGGGGCAAATGCATACATTAAACATGATTGTGAAGAGTGAAAAACTTCATAGTGACTTGCATATTGGTTCTCAATAAATTACTGAGCAGCCTTGTTTGGGGAGGGAGGTCCCTGCCATTCTTGTTTAGTCTATATTAAGGAAATCTGTGTCTTTTTAATATTCTTGTGATGTTTTAAGAGCCGCTATAGGTCTCTTCTTGCATGTTCCACAGTAGTATATTTGTGGTTTTTATTTTGAACGCTTGCTTTTAGAGAAAACAACACAACCCCATCCCCTCTCAACCTGTGCGCTCAAGTCTGCAACCCCAAGGAAGTGGGGGGGTAGGGGGGGACACAGAGAAGGGGTGGGGAAAATAAAAACTGAATTTATTTTATCTGAGCTCTGTAGCTGGATTGACGTCCCTCTTCGGCAGTTTGTTCTTTCCTGTATATGCAATAACAAGGTTTAAAAAAAAATAAAGAAGAAGCGAGACTATTAGACAAAGTATTTATGTAATTATTTGATAACTCATGTAAATAGGTGGAATATGAAAATGCTTGGAAAATTAAACTTTAATTTATTGACATTGTACATAGCTCTGTGTAAATATGATTGCAATTGTCAGGTTTTTGTTCTTGTTTTCTTTTAGTCAATTTTATTTCCAGGTCACAGAATTGCTGTTCACACTAGAAAACAAGACTTTCTGCACCGACATCTACACACTTTCAAAAGAGTTGTCTGCAAAATTTATTTTTCTTTTTTAATGTCAAGAGTAGGGGTTGTGTGTGTGTGGGGGGAGTGCTGTTTCCTATTTTAGCCAAAATTGGGGAGGAGTTAGCACTTCCCAGCTCCACTTGAAATTCCTGAAAATATAACACCCTGAGAGTGGTCCTGGGATTGGTGTGGGCTGGGGGGAGTGCAGAGACTGTGGTTTGACTTCCCAACTTTCCTTTCATATTTGTATCTGCTAGTCTCTGATTTCCTCCAAATGAAGTGGAATTTAACTACTGTTGTCAATCTTGATGGCGTTTTGAATTGGTGCCTATAGAGAGAGTCTCAGTTCAAAAGTCAGGTGCTGAGGGATGGTTTAAAGACAAAAATCCATGAAGGTATATTTTGTGTTATAGTTGGCGAGTTCTTTGGTTTTCTGTATTTTTTTTCCTCTTTAAAACATCACTGAAATTTCAATAAATTTTTATTGAAATGTTTTTGGGCCTTGTGTTAAATGCTTTCTCGCAACTTTCCCTGAAGGTAGAGAACCGGAGAGGATTCTGTCTCTTCTTTGGCCTCCCCCCCCCCCCCGCCTTTCCCTTGCCTTTAAATAATTTTAAGACCGCCCCCAGCCAACCAAAATGAGATGTCACTCAAGTTACAAAGCTAAGAACAAAAGTCCCGTACTACAGCGGAGCCGCTTCAATCTGAAAATACTTTTCTTTTAAATTAGGGAGCAAAACGGCAGAGAAAAGGAGCCTGATCTGAATTCGAAAGAATAGTAATTTCAGATACTTAAATTTTAATAGGAAAAGACCCGTCCTGTCCCGAAGTCAGCTTTTCCCACAGGAATTCGACCAAAAATAAGTTTGAGCTCCAGGAACGTTTTTTTTTTTTTTTTCGGTTTAAGTTCGCTCTCCCTTTTGAGACAGATCTGGGAACTCCAAGTCAAAAATATCTCCTGCACAATGTGTTGGGCGCGGGGGGCGGGGGGGGGGGGAAGACTAGCAGAATCCCCAGGCGACCAGAGCCGCTGGCCAGCCGGTGACTCCTCCAGGTTGTAGGAGAAATGGATCAAGAGGAAGGCTTCTCGCCCCCACTCCACCCGGCAGTCCCGGGTGTCTTAGACCCCACCAGGCTGGCCCGGGGCGCCTCTATGAGGCCCCATCCATCCTCTGGCTGTGCGTGCAGGGCGCCGACAGTTCTGCGCAAACTTAGCTGTGTCTCGAGAGGGAGGAGGAAAGTCTTCCTTGCATTTGAAAGGCGCCTATTTCACCTCCTCCAAGGTAAAAGTCGCCCCCGAGGGCGATCCTTACTTCTCACCCGTCTCCAAGAGTTTAGGAAGTTGCCTTTTGAAGTTCAATTTATCTTTAAAACATTCAATTAAAAAAAAATGCCAGGGCCCAGTCAATTTTAATCTCCCCACCCCCAGGCTCACCTCGGAGTTGTCTCTATGTCTTGGGGGTGGGGGGAGGTAAGGGAAGTTTCTCGAGGGTTAGTCCTTAGGCCTTTTCTTGCCCTGGGGCCCATGACGCGAGGGCCCAACTGGAGCCTGGCTGGCGGCTGACTCGCTCCCCCCCCCCCCCCCCCCGGAGCCCGCCTGCCCGGCCCCACGTCCCTATCACCTTCAGGCCTCTTGAACGGCCGGCGAGGAGGACATCCCCCGCCCCGCGCCTCCCGGTCCTGTACTTGGAAGAGGATTGAGGTCGAGACCTTTTGGAGAGGGGGGCAAAACCCCTTCCATCCCCGATCAGGCACGTGGGGACCCCCACGGCCTCTCCAGAGCTGTCTCAGGGAGTGAGCAGGAAGACAACCAGAGTGGGGAGTGGGGCTTGGAGGGCCTGAAGACCTTTGGGGTCAAAGCAACCCCTTCGGGCCAGGGATCCCCAGGGTGTGCAGCCGGACGCGCGGTGGCTGGTGCCCAAGGGGGCTGGTTCTCGGCGCAACGACAATGCTCGGTGCCCACGCGCCTGACAAGGTAGTAGTGGGCTGGTTGCGCCCAGCTGTGCGCTTCCAAATTGGGGAGAAAATAACTCGGCCTCCAAGAGAGAAAAATGCGTTCCTTTTCCAGCCCAGATCGCTTGCCTCCTCCCTACCCCCCCCCCCGCCCCCCAAATTTAGGGACAGTGCTCAAACATGTGTCCGGCCTCTCCTGCGGGCTTTCCTTCCTCCTTACTGTTTTTTAATCTCCTGTGTATCTTATTTGTATATAGCGATGTTAATAAGTAACTCTCCTGGCGCTGATGGACTGGGGTGAACGGCTTGCAATCTCTCTGGATTTCGTTGCCTATTACTCACCTGGCGCCGGTCGCAATCTCGCCGCGGGCTTTATGGTGGCGGCGGCGGCCGCCGAGGCCACTCGGGGCAGGCGCCTTCGCCTTTTTTTTCCGGGCTTCGAGTGCCACCTATCTGTCTGGCCCACAAATGCGCCCTGGTAGCCGCCTCTGGCTAGGCGCCCCAGCGCCTCCCGGGTTCCGGAACTTGGGCGCTTCACCTTTGCCCCTTTTCGTCCCCGCCAACTCCAGCCCGCAACCCCACCCCTACGCCGACCCCACTCCCCTCGGAAGAAGCGGCCGTGATCTCTTTCCTGGATATCACTTTCATTCCTGTTTGGGCCTCAGATGAGAAAAACAGCCCTGTCCTTTGGGTTTCCAAAGAATGTTTGGAAATTCAGCGAGGGGACCGTCGCTCATAATTCTCTCGCCAAGTGGAAATCTACCCCGGCAGGGAATAACCTGAACTCGGGATGAGCAGATAGAGAAAGGACACCCTCTCCCCGATATGCACACCTCGAACTCTACCCTGGGTCCAACTTCCTTCGGCTTTCTTACTTTAACCACAGCAAAATTTCGTTCTTTAACCTGGCAGCGTCTACAGGGACAAAGGCCACGGCTCGCGGGAGCAGCAGTTCGAATAGCCCCCGGCGGTGGTCAGCAATCGGAGCCTGCAGGGCCGAGCGACTCGGTGATGTGTAGATTTAAGGTGACAAATGCGGGTGCCGGCCAGAGCCCTCCGGTCCCCGCCCGTTGGAAAGGTCGGCTCCAAGCCGGGCAGCGCCCTGGCGTCTGAGACCCGCGGAGGGGAGGGGTAGGGTCGCCTTTGGCTGTGCTTTGAGCCGCGGGCAAAGGCGTCCGGGTTCCTGCTGACCTCCCGGCGCTAATTGCTGGGGCCGAAGGGCGCGCTCGGGCAGAGGCAGGGGTCACGACCCTGCGCTCCCTCCCCCCCCACCCCCCCAGCGTCCTCGCAGCCCCGAAGGAGCGAGGGGTGTGTGCAAGCCGGCGACTGTGTGTGCGTGCGTAGGGCCTGTCTCTGGATCTACGCTGTCTTGGGACCCGCCCTTTCTGTGTTTGGGGAAAGTTCCCGACGAGTAGGCCCTAAAAAAAATTTCCATCCAAGAAGGAAAACCCGGGTTCAGACCTTTCCCCTAAGCCAGCAGACAGGCAGCCGCCTTCGGGCGCTGCAAGACGCTTGAAACGCTTCGCGTCCGCGCACTTTCTGCCTCGCTGGTTTTCAAATTTGACCTCACGGCACCCAGCCAAGAGAGTGACTGTTGGAGTGTGTAGCTTTGAGCCCAAGCGGCGACCTGGGCTCTATGTACGTAGCCTTAGTTGGAGGTACCTTTGGGTAGCTCCTGGGGTGTTCTCGTTCTGAGGCCAGGAACTGCAGGTGTTAGAAAGGATACGTGTGTGTTTGCGTGTACTTGTGAGCGCTCCATCTGTCGCCGTCTCTTCCAATTTGGATTTAGAAGTTCATGCGCAAGACAGTTCCGGATGTAGATGCATTTGGTTGTTTTATAATCAAGATGCGTATAATCAAGAAGTATATGTTGCAGATGTCGGCGTTCAAAGTACACAGAACAACGATAATAAAAA